GTTCTGTTTGGACCCCAAACCGTTTCCCTGGAGTGCTACATGCTGGAGCAGAGAGACTGAAGCTCATGAATCTGCTCGTTGTACACGAGTTTGTAGTGCAGAATGCTTATTTTTCTTTGCACATAACTCATGCCATTGGTTCAGTTTCCTATCTAAATATGGGACTGAGACCCACCTGAACTTAGACCCAGCATTTCTGAAAATGATTTGGCATTCACCTATAGCCTCACATGCAGCTGTTCTTGAAACCATCACCTATGAAGTATGGAACATGCTGTCTTTGTATTGTGGGCACAACAGAAGCGTTTCTCATGCCGTTTTTGTGACCCTTCCCCTCCACACTCAGTAAAATGCAAGGCTTCTGTAATCTCAAGCAGTTGTGACCTGTGTTGCACAGATGAAAAGAAAGTATATGTCTTTGTAACAGTTCATCAAAGTGCATCAAAGAAAATGGCCCAAAAGGAAAACAGATGGCTGGGGAGGTGAATCCAGAGCTATTAGACAGATTTCTCACTGACATGGGAATTATTATATATGCATATGAACACTGGAGATGTGAAAAAGACTTCCCATACAGTCTTTCCAGCAGCTTAGAAAAGTGACTCACAACACTTATTGCTCAATTTAGTAGGAGTAATGTATGTTCTAAATAAAAATTTAGTTTGTATTTCTTCTTTCATTAAGTACTAAGAGCAAGGGAGTACATGATTCTACATTTTGTAGATGTGGAGGGTTAGAAAATAAATGTTGGCTGAATGCAAAACAACTACATTCTGAGACAGTGTCTTATGCTCAGGCTGCAAGAATGTATTGAATGACAGAACAGAATACGTGTAATTGTGTCAGCATCCTCTTCAAATTCATTTCCCAAGAGTTTCCTCTTTTTGACTGGTTGATAAGTGTCATATTCACTTAAGATGCATTTCCTGATCCTGCAGAGGCTGATGTGTGAGATAGAGGCAGCAAAGTGAGGGCCTTGGGAGGTGGAGTGACCCATCTTCACCTATCTTCCTGCTAACTCAGTGGTGGCTCTGAACAGAAACCCAGTGCAGATGGGTTGAAGCCTTGAAGGGAGACTAAAAAGGAGAGGCTGTGTTAAGGATATCTGTGGCCCTCTGAGAAATACAATCTCCTTTAGTCTCCTGCCACTTCTCCAGTCTTATTAGACAATGACTTCTCTTTCTCAGGTATCAGATTTTATTTAAACAGAGTGTAGGAACAGAGGATGTCTTCTTTGGGATGAGCAGGAAAGATCCCTCCACAGCCTGCTGTGAAGATATAGTGGTGAGCTGAATCTGTGTCTCCCTTCTTTGTGCTC